TCAGGGCCCTGCTCAAATCTTTTTCTTTAGTCTCAATTTACCCTATACTTTAGTCTAAATCCACTTCTCGGTAACCAGGTTGCATCCTTCTGCCGAGTGCCTGAACATGAAACTGTGACTCCTTTCAATTCGTCAGTTCTCACTTTATTAAGAGAACCTTTAAGTAGGAGGCAGATATTGAAGCCCAATCGGGTGCATGAAAAAAGAGAGTCGGGGAGACCTTACACTTCCTTCTCAGTTCTAATTCTCTAATTCTGCCTTTTTTGTTGTTGTTGTTTTTGTTTTTCGAGATAGGGTTTCAGTGAAGCTTTGAAGCCTGTCCTGGAATTAGTTCTTAGTTCTTGTAGACCAGGCTGGCCTCGAACTCACAGAGATACACCTGCCTCTGCCTCCTGAGTGCTGGGATTAAAGGCGTGTGCCACCAATGCCCAGCTAATCCTGTCTTCTTCTTTAACAGCGCTTTCTAGGCCGGGGTGGTGGTGTGCACCTGTAATCCCAGTACCAGAGAGAGATGGAAGCAGGAAGGATCATATGTTTAAGGCCAGCTTGGACTACAAAGTAAACTCAAAATCAGTCTCAGCTACTAGCACTTGGTAGGTAGCAACATGAAGATCAGGAATTTAAAACCAGCCTTGAGTACAAAATAAGTTCAAGGCCAGTTTAGGATACTGAGATCTGTCCCCTATAAACAAATGAAAACCACAGAATGTATGGGGAGAAAGAAGACAAGCCCTCTAAATGAACCTTAAGGGAACCATAGGGTATCTTACTCTTCTTATGAAAGGACACAACAGTTCCTCTGGGAGGAACAAGCTCTGCTTGTTGGTGACATCAGGTGTTCCAATTAAAATTGAAGCTCTACACAGCTGTATTTTCAAACTCTGCTAAGGATCGAACGGAAGACAGGCTTGTTTAGACACAAATGACGCTGATAACTGCAGCAGCATGACTAAGCCACGAGAGACGGTGAGAAGCAGACCAACAGCACTTGGAGCGCCAAGCCTGCGGGAGAACTTTAGCCCCCACTGCCACAACTAAAGCTTCAAAGGACAGAAGGTCTGCGGTCCTTCTGCTGCTCTCCACCTGCTGGCCAGGCTCTAAGTCATGGTGGTCCTTAGACCCACCACAGGCCAGGAGAGCCAAAGACACAGTTTTACACTGCCGTCAATTAGCTAGACACCTCCCAGCTTGGACATCGGAAAGCTTACCTGTTCTGGGGCTCTGGAAGAGCCCACTACAAGACAGCTGACAAAAGTTTGTTCACGGTGCCTTAGAAATCCTTCTTGGGTGACATCAGCACAAGTAACCTTTAGAAACAGCTAAAATAAATGTGTACACCACCGCGGCTTTCCTGATAAGCCTTTACAGCACAGTATCCCTTGGAGACTCAACAGTTCGATTTTCTGACACACTCCTGTTTCCTCAATCACCCAAAGTCACAGATACACAATACAAACTTTAAAAGAAAGACAAAGAGGCAAAAGGAAGCCTGGCTCAGTTGTGCCTTTTTATCCTCCAGGTAAGGGGATACTGAACGAGACAACTGCCTCCATCACTCTCATCCAGCACCATCAAGATCAGCTACATTAAAAAAATAAATAAAACACTTTAACTCTCGCAAGACAGAAAAATAAAAGTAACTAGGAATTACTAAGCAAGGCTCAAAACAATGAGGCTAAAAATCAAGGCCAGGTGTAATTAATGGTGCATGCCTTTAATCTCAGCACTCATCAGGAAAAGGCAAGCAGATCTAAGTCTGAGGCATGCCTGTTTTACTATTGAGTTCCAGGCCAGCCAAGAGTACATAAAGAACTCCTGTCTCAAAGTTAAAGTGGGGTGGGGTAGAAAATTGGCTCAGCAGTTAAAAGCACTTGTTTTTGCAGAGGACCCAAGTTCAATTCTTAGCACCCACATGGTGGCTCACAACTACCTAAAAACCAGGTGCAAGGGACTGCACAGCCTCTTCTGCCCTCCAGGTCCACCAGGCACATAAATGGTGTACTTACAAGTAACATAAAAATAAATAGTCAGGCAGTGGTGGTGCACGCCTTTAATCCCAGCACTTGGGAGGCAGAGGCAGGAGGATCTCTGAGTTTGAAGCCAGCCTGGACTATAGAGCAAGTTCCAGGACAGCCAGAGAAACCTTGTCTTGCGGAGAGTGGGGGGGCAGGGGGAGAGAATTACCATAGATACAGCAATTCCCCATATGGACCTATGCCTCAAAGAAGAGGAGGTACAGCCTCTTTACTTTTTTTTTTTTTATTTATTAAAGATTTCTGTCTCCTCCCCGCCACCGCCTCCCATTTCCCTCCCCCTCCCCCGATCAAGTCCCCCTCCCTCATCAGCCCAAAGAGCAATCAGGGTTCCCTGCCCTGTGGGAAGTCCAAGGACCACCCACCTCCATCCAGGTCTAGTAAGGTGAACATCCAAACTGCCTAGGCTCCCACAAAGCCATAAGAGAGTCTTGCTATATAGTCCAAGACAGTCTAGAACTCGCGAACCATCACCTACTCACCTTGGTCACCCAAGTGCTGATATTAAAGGTATGCAACACCAGAAGCAGGATCTCAAACACAACACCTATTCATAGCAGGGTCATGTAAAAAACCAAAAAGTAACAACAACTCAAGTGCCCATCAACAAGTGAATAGATAAAATATGGTGTAAAAGTACAATGAAAATATTACTTGGCCTAAGAAGGAAAGAGATTCCGGCATGCTGTCAGAAGTATGAAACTTGAAGACAGCATTCTACATAGAATGGTTACAATTTTACAGCTTCTCAGGAGCTAATGGCTGACATCAGCATCCCCATTTAATAGGTGGCAGAAAGGGTTCAGAGATGCTAATCTGCTCAAGGTCGTACGGCAAACAGTAGCAGCAGCTTTTCTCACTTAATTTCATTCCGCCTTCGAGACTGTGGGGAAAGACAGAGCAGCATAAGGCATTTCTCTGTGAACCTGGAACTCTGCATCCTGAGAGGAGGAAGCTGGGCTCACAACGTTGCAAGGCAACCAAAGTAGGGTCTTCCAAAACACACCATCTTTGAGAAGCAGCTTCCTTGCTGGCAAAGTGTATTTTGAGGCAGGTGTGATGCCAAACACCTGTCAACTCAGCCCTTTAGTAGAAGCAGAAGGAATAGGAAACAGGGGTTCAAGGTCACCTTTGGCTACATACTGAGTTCAAAGCCAGCCTGTGCTATGAGAATCTGTCTCAAGGTGGGCAAAACAAAGATATTTTAAGAAGCATATAACATACGCTACAGAGTTTAAAGGTTAAAAGATTAGAGAAGATGGCATGTGGACGAACTGGAAGGACACCCTGAGCCTGGCAATTAGTGGGTGAAAAGAGCTGTCCGGAAGGAGCAAAGGTGAACAGCTCTTAGTCTCATCAGTGTGTGTCTCTGGTCTAAATGTAGTGTTAGAAGATTCAAACACATCTCTCCAATAATATCTTAAGGAAGTTGCTGCTTCAGTCAGATACTCCATTAGCACAGTGAAGATGATGCGCTCATTCTCTGCAGGAGGCCCAGTTTGAGAACTGAAATGGGAGGGGAGGTCTGGCAGTCATGCAGACAAGGAAACGGCCATGGTGACTGGCATCTTTTCAAGGCTCAGCCCAGTTCTTCCAGTTACTTAGAGAAGGCAGAGGAACTCTAATCAGCTGCCTGGTGACCCTTGGGAAGAGTAAGGACAGCAGCCAAGGCAGAAACGATTGAAAGCAAAAGCAATGAAGTAGAAGATAAAGCAAACAGACCTCAGACAAAGAGGAGATACCTGGAAGACCTGTGTCAATACATGATAATAAACATAGCATACATTATCTTCCTATGTACCTCATACTCTAGCCCAGAACCTGGTGTTCCATTCAGACATCCAAGTCTGTCTTACTGCCCTAGGGTCACAAAGGGTAATTTGGGAGAAGAGTTTGTCATGCCAAATTCTTTTAGAAACTCACATTTCTTGTAAGGACCCACAAGTGTTTTGATTGCTTGCTAGGTGCAGACAGGCATCTTTGGTGAGCTTTATAGATGTTTGTTCAGTGTCTCTGGAGGCAGCAGGCAGTCCAGCCTCACCCCAGGCTCCCTCGGCCCAGCCCACCTAACACAAAATTTCACAGCTTTCCTCTTGTTCCCAGGGGCGACACACACTGTAGTAAATCACTTCAAAGACATTTTACTTTAAGACAGAGAGAGGGAAGATAGGAATAAACATCACACCCTGCTCTCTCACACATTAGAATCTATACAAAGTTGTAAACACGCGCTACTATTATTGGAGTGTCTGGCAAGCCTTACATCTGGAGCTAAATCAAGTTCCCCATCTGCCGGGTTTGCCTGTTTTATTCAACGTTAACTTCTTGATTGTTTGCAAAAACAATTTAATAACTGTTGAGAAAAAGGAAAATCATAGGCACAAAAGGAGGAAACAATGGGAGATAGTCAACTGAGCTCAACACCAAAACCCTTTCCCTCCCTCCCCACTTACAGACCACTCCCTCCTCTGAGAACTGCTTCCTCCTGACTCAGTGAACCCCATGTCTGACATAATTTTATCCAACAAATACAGCATTTTTTGTGACATTTCATAAGGGCTAAAAGTGACTTAGCCCCAGGGATTTTGTTTGCCTGTGTTTCTCACAAACAGAAATATCTATTTACAGTCACATGTGAGAGTCCTACATCGCCATGAAGAGACCACAGTGAAGAGCAGAGGAAACCATACACACCAAGAACACTTTGTCAGCTAAGGTGCCTGCAAAGGGCATGCAATCATCGCTCAGGTAGAAAATTCACACAACAGCCAGCACTTTGAGCTATTTCAATATGACAAAATGAAAGCCTCATGCACTCCTGCTTTTCTTGATCAGGTTTGACAATTTCTTCCACTCCTACAGGCATCAGGGCTTAAAATAGTAGTGGTGCTCAGAGTGTTCTCCTTCGGAAGGTACAATAAACCTCAGGATGAGCAAGGAACTGTGAAAGGAATTCTCATTCCTTACCTGATATTAACCAATGCGTGCGTCACCTTGCTAGCTGCTTCCTTCCACTGGCCTGCATTGGTAGAAAGCCTAAGGACTGTGGAAGGAAAGAACACAGATCTGTCAAGCTCTTGACACAAAACACAAACAGAGCCTGAGCCATTCTCCTGCTTAGAGAATAGTTCAACTACGTTCTCCATGAATTTTCTTCTTTCTCTAACTTCTCACTTTCTATCAAAGTAGTCACGTCTCCTTCCCTGCCTTGGGCTTCTCCTAGGCTCCCCCAACAATGGGCTCCAAAACTTAGTTTCTATGTTCACTTGACATAGAAAGATGAAGCCATAGCTCAGTTGACCACAAGAGCATAAAGACCTGAGTTAGGTCCCCAAAGGCCCTGAAAAATGCCTGGTGTGGTGACGCGTGCTTGTAATCCCAGCACTGGTGAGCAGGAAACAGGTGGACTTGCTGCTGGCTAGTCAGCTTAGCCTTCTTGGCAAACTCCAGGCCAATGAGAGATCCTGTCTAAAATGATAAAGTGGACAGCTCTTGAGGCATGACCTGACACTGATCTCTGGCCTCCATGTACACATGCCTGTGCAAACACAGATATCTATATAGGGGTGCCATGTTTACTATTTTCCTAATAGCAAGGGTTATACTTGGGTGGCATGGAACTATGTAGACCAGGCTAGCCTCAAACTCACAGCTCTCCTACTGGCTGAGTTGCTATCCCTTCCTGTTCCATGTGTATCTTTATAAACTACAGCCATACACCAGCCAAATAGGACAAATAATCTTTCCAGGTAGAGTGATCAGGTTTCAATCAATGAATGAGCTGTTTTGCTCCTCTAACTTACATTGAGTGACCTGCAAAATGAGTCAAAAGAAAGCGGTCACTATCTGACCAAACTTTCTTTCACAAACACACTCATGGAGGGGAGTGTGGGGGCGGAGAGAAGACAGAAAGCACAGTGAGCACATTCCCTGACAGTCATGGTCTCCGGGACACATGGGTGTTATAACCACGCCATTTATTTATTTCTTTTAAATATTTATTTATTTATTTATTTATTTGTTATGTATACAATATTCTGTCTGTGTGTATGACTGCAGGCCAGAAGAGGGCACCAGACCTCATTACAGATGGTTGTGAGCCACCATGTGGTTACTGGGAATTGAACTCAGAACCTTTGGAAGAGAAGGCAATGCTCTTAACCTCTTAGCCATCTCTCCAGCCCAACCATGCCATTTAGAATACACAAATAGCACAAGCACTCCCGGGATAAACAAATATGTTTTTACTTTTCCTGTGTTTGTAAGCACACACACACACACACACACACACACACACACACATTCGTGTGTACAAGTGCATATGCCCATACATGTGCGTATAAAGACCAAAGATGGACTTCTTCCTCTACTGCTCTGCATCTTATTATTTCTCCAACTTTTCTAATTAATGTGTGTGCTTACGGAGGTGAGAGGACAATTATTAGAAGTTGATTCTCTTCTTCTACCATGGGTTCCAAGGACTGAAGGTTATCAGGCTTAGAGGCAGGTACCTTTGCCTGCTGAGCCATCTAGCTGGCCCCTCAACCTTATTTTTTTGATACAGAGTCTCTTACTAAATCCAGAAGGCACTGCCTGATTAAACTAGTGTCAAGACAAGTCTCTGGATCCTCCCGTCTTCATCTCCCCAGCGCGGGTTACAGGTGCACAGTCACACCTGGATCCTCCCGTCTCTGTCTCCCCAGCACGGGTTACAGGTGCACACAGTCACAGCTGGCTTTTTAATGTGGAGACTGCTGACTCTGGTCTTCATGCTGGTGTAGCAAACATTTTACCTATTGAACCAACTTCCCGTCTCCTAAACATGTTCTTAAAGACTGTTGGGTTACAGAGATAAATGTGTGGAGTGTTTTCAAACTATCAGGTATTACACAAAGGTTACATATAATACAGCATACAGATAAGTGTTGCGTAATAATTTCCTCTGAGATTCAAACATTCCATTCTGCAGGGAAGCTCCTTAAGCAGGAAGGTGAACAATTCAAAGGAACTTCAGGAAGTCTCTAAAACTGACCATATTCACTAGGCCCCTAGCTTATAAAGTAAATAAGCCAAACTTGTGAGAGTCACTTGAAAACAAGCCAAGTTACAAAAAGGTCTCTTAGATGGGCCAAGCTACAAAGAAGACCCAGAGAATAAACCAACTGCCTGAAGAAACAAACCAGCTGAACTGCCTAAAAGAGGCTTAGACCAGAGTCCCTCGGAAAGGTCACTTTCCAACCTGCTGAACGGCCTGCAGCCTAAGCAGCATGCTCCAGGATTCCAGCTTTCCTGAGCAGTCACTAGTGCTGGGTTGGGCCTTATGCAGCTAGCTGTCTTCAAGCCATTTCTGCTCCTGTAAGTAGCTCCTCACCCAAACGCACAGATTTCCCAAGTGAGACTTTGGTGGTATCTGTACTTTGGTCTATCCTGGGCTTCCTATCTAGGGTGAGTAGACGCGTGTGTTATCTCCTACTTCCTATCAGGGTGAGTAGACGTGTGTTATCTCCTACTTCCTATCAGGGTGAGTAGACGTGTGTGTTATCCCCTACTTCCTATCTGAGTAGACGTGTGTGTTATCCCCTACTTCCTATCAGGGTGAGTAGACGTGTGTGTTATCCCCTACTTCCTATCTGAGTAGACGTGTGTGTTATCCCCTACTTCCTATCAGGGTGAGTAGACGTGTGTGTTATCCCCTACTTCCTATCTGAGTAGACGTGTGTGTTATCCCCCTTCAAAAGTCTTGTCACACAAGAATAGGAAACCCAGAATCAGAGAAAACAAGTGATTGTTGTTGTTAGGGAGGTTGTTAGTTTGTAGAATTTTGATTTGCTTTTAAACATTTATTTAAGAGAGAGAGAGTGTGTAAGTGTGTCTGTGTGTATGTACATACATACACCTACCTGTACATGAGTCTAGTGATCGGAGGCTAAAAGAGAATGTCAAAACTGGAATGGAAGTTTTAGGTGGTTGTGAGCCACTGACGTAAGTGCTGGGATCCAAACTCCAAGTCCTCTGCAAGAACAGCAGGTTCTCTTAACTGTAGAGTCGTCTCTCTAGCCCAGTTTTTGTTTTTTTGAAACAGGGTCTCAGACTGGGATTCATTATACAAACCAAGATTCAGGCAATCTTCTGGCCTCAGGTAGCCTCCTGAGTGTGGGGTTACATATATGAACCACCATGGGTAGCTTCATCATTCACAAATGCTTATCAGAGCTGGAACCTGAACCTTGAAAGAATGTTCTATTGAGAGCTGCTGTCTGAACCTGGGAGGAAGGGATGGTTCTATGTCTGGTACTTGTGAAGGAGTGAGTAACACCATGACCTCTCAAGTCCACTGTTAGGCCCACATCTAGTCCTTGCTGCCTGCAAGAAAATAACAATACCTGTGGGAGCCCACAGAAGCGGATCTGTTCCACCTTGACCAAAGGTCAGAGAAGCCTATTCCTGTATGACAGGAGGTTGGACCCAGGGAGTGGCTGCTTACAGGATGCTTGGTCTAAGCATGTCCTGCCTAAACAACAGAATGCTTAACTCATATAGTTGCCTGCTGTCTCAGGCACTCAGATTATCTGAAGCAGACAATTGCTCTGTTTGTTCTTTGTGTCATGTTAAAACAGTCTTTTGCCTCCCCCCCTTTTGGGATCGGGGTAATAAAAGCATATGGAAAATAAACACGGGTGAATTCAGTACTCACTGGGTGTGCTCCCACTGCCATACTATGCCTCTGTACTTCTTTCGTGTGTGTGTGTGTGTGTGTGTGTGTGTGTGTGTGTGTGTAGAAATGTGCACGTCAAAGACAGAGTATAATCTAGGATGTTATTCTTTACGGATGCTATCTACCTCATTTGTTGTTTTTGTTTATTGGCTTTTGGAGACAGGGTTTCTCTGTATAACTCTGGCTGTCCTGAAACTCACTTTGCAGACCAGCCTCGAACTCACAGAGATCCACCTGTCTCTGCCTCCCAAGTGCTGGGATTAAAGGCGTAAGCCACCACCACCGGGCTGCTGCCTCAAATTTTGAGAGAGGGTCTTTCACAGGCTTGAAGCTCACCAAATAGGCCAGGCTAGACAGCCAATAAAGCCGTCTTTATTGGGATGTGCCTGTGTCCACCCCGACAGCATGTATCAGCACACGCAGCTCAGTAAATGCGCACCAGGGGTCAAACCCAGATCCACATGCTGTGAGACACATATCTGGCGGACTGGGGCAATTCCCAGTTCTTCACTCACTCTTTCTCCACCGTCTTACTGGAACTCACTGAATCCACAGCTTCTCTCTAGCATATGCATCCTTCCTCCTCTTCCCCCCTCCCCCACGCCTCTCCACATCAACAGGCAGGGAGCTATACGGCTTTCCCCTGAGAAGAAATCTGAGTCCCACACAGATTCTCCTGTTGCCTAAGAAGAGGACAGGGCTTTGTTTGTTTATTGTTTTAAGACAAGGTATACTTTTATTGCTTTGGCTTTCCAAAAACTCACCATGTAGACCAGGCTAGCCTCAAATTACATGCTAATGAGTGCTGGAGTTAAAGTCACATACTACCATGCCTGGCTGTGATGTGTTTATTTCTATAGCATCCACCTAAAGAATCTTTTGTAGCATTTTCTTGGTATGTACCAGACAGACAAGGTACAGGGAGAAGAAGAACGAGCAAATCCTTACCCATGGAGTAGAGGTTATCAAAGCTCTGGTGCATGCGAATAATTTCATAGTAAAGCTCATCGTAGCTGCTGGGTGTTGGCAGGAATGTGTCACCATATGTGATAAACATGTTAAACAGGTTCACAATCTGAAAAAGAACCAACAGCCCATATACAGACATCAGGTGGTGAAGCTCAGAAAAGCATTACTAGTGGTATGCTATAGCCATCTCTTACTGGTTTGCAACAAAACAAAATTTTGGGGATTTTTTTATACTGACTGTAAAATCATTATTAAAAATTCACTTATATAAACTGATAAATTATATTAAATAAAAGCAATATCCAAAGCATTGTGTTTCTTACTTATTCTCTACCTTCATTCTTATCTATGCTTATGAAACTAATTTACATGCATGTGAAGGGAATACCACACAATAGGGTGCTATCGCACATCGTAGCCCTGCATGACTGCTGTCATGCTGAGAGCTGACAATCGGCATCGTTCTACATATCTTGGGTGTCGTTCTGCAATTTGCAGATACAACAAATCAGCATGTTCATCCCCCATGAAATACTGAACATTTACAAGCTGGGTAGACAATTAAATGGTTTGGTGGCCTCTTTCTCCCCTGAATTACCAGCCAGATAAGCATTTTTATGTACCCTTCAGAAGCCAAGCACAGCGATGATGGAACCACTTATCTGGCTAGGAAGCTACAAAGAGACTGCAGTGGTACATACAGTATAGTTTCTTGGTGGGATCAAGCTCAGTAATCATACACAGGTGTAACCTGTATCCATGCCTCCCAGGCCAAATACATGCATAAAAGTGAGGACCATCAGGTTTAAGACTCTCATCCATAAACAAACTACAGCTTAGATCCCAGACCTCAGTTCCTGTTACAAAGCAGTCCATTTCTGCCTTACTATATTAGCTTCAGAAAAACATGCATTTTTATTAAAACTCACCATAAGGGCCAATGTAAAAATGTTGTGTTTGGCCAAAAGTACAGTTTCATTTGACATAAGGAACTTCAGCAAGTTTATCAAGGCTTCAAAGAAAAAAAAAAACAGTAAGTTATTCAAATCATAATCAATATAATCAGTAAAAGTAAGGGCCAGCAAGAAGACTCAGTGAGCAAAGGTACTTGCTACCAACTGTGATGGTCTCATTGATTCCAGGGTGCACACATAGGAGAGAACTGGCACCCACATGCTGTCCCCTAACCTTCACACGTGTCCACATACACACACACACACACACACAAATAAATAAATAAAATAAAAAATTAAGTAAATAAAAACAAACTAGGTCTATAGAAATCTATAGGTCTGAAGTAAGTCTCAGCAACCAAGGCCTTTTTAAAACTGTTAACATATGACAGTATGTGTGTACAGGTGAACGTGTGTGTGTGTGTGTGTGTGTGTGTGTGTAAAATAGGCTCTTAATAAAACACCACCATTTCACTGTGGTCAGGAACACTGGCACCTACTTTTCTCTAACAGCTGCCTTCTGGTGCCTATCACCCGATAGCTTTCACCCTCCCCCAATCACAAGCATTGGTAATCACTACTCTGCATCAAGATCAGCATTTTCTAAACTTCCCCGTCTGAGAGAGAACACAGTATTTGTCTTTCTGTGTCTGGCATATTTCACTGGCATACATCCTCCAATTACACCCAATTTCCATCTGGCTACAAATGATAGGATTTGATTCTTTCTCGGGCTAAGTAATTTCCCACTCCTATATTCATACTGTTTTTTGGTGGGAAGGAGGAACTGTTGTGGTTGGAATACTTGGTCCCCAGTTGCTGAACTGCTCGGGAAGGGTTAGGAGGTGTAGTGTTGTTGGAGCAAGTGTGTCACTACAGGTAGGTTTGGCTTTGTTTTTTGTTTTTCTTTTTTGTTTTGTTTTTTGTTTGTTTGGGTTTTTGAGATAGGGTTTCTCTGTAGCTTTGGAGCCTGTCCTGGAACTAACTCTTGTAGACCAGGCTGGCCTCGAACTCACAGAGATCCTCCTGTCTCTGCCTCCCGAGTGCTGGGATTAAAGGCGTGCACCACCACCGTCCAACAACAGGTAGGTTTTGAAGGTTTCAAAATACTTGCACCATTCCCAGTGTCTCTCTCTCTGTTTCCTGCTTCTGAATCAAGATATGAGCTCTCAGCTGTTCCTATTGCTATGCATTTGCTCAGCCATAATGGACTCTTAGGCTGGCTAGTTTTATCAACTTGATATTCACTAGAGTCATCTGAGAGAAGGGAACTTCAAGTGAGAAAACGCGTCCATAAGATTGGGCTACAGGCAAGTCTGTAGGGTATTTTCTTAATTAGTGACTAAGTGGGAGAGCCCAGCCCATTGTGGGAGGGGCCACCCCTGGGCTGTCGATCCTGGGTTCTATAAGAAAGCAGGCTGACTAAGCCGTGATGAGCAAGTCAGTAAGCAGCACCCCTCCACGGCCTCTGCATCAGCTCCTGCTCCAGGTTCTAGTCCTGCTTGCATTCCTGCCCTCAGGATTTTGATGATGAACTAACTGTATTGTGGAACTGTGAGTAATAAACCCTTTCTTCCCCAAGTTGTTTTGGTCATGGTGTTTCATCACAGCAATAATAACACTAAGACAACGCTACACTCTGAAACCATGACACCAATCAGAGGCTGTCTTGTATAAGTTGCCTTAGTCATGGTGTTTTGACACAGCAATAGAAAAGACAGACAGAATTTGGCCCACAGTCCATTTTGGACTCAAATTCAGAATCCTCCTGCCTCTGTCCCTGAGTGCTAGGATTATAGACACATGCTACCATGCCTACTATACCATATAAATTTATGTGTATGTATACACAAACACATAACACATACATGAGGGGAGGGCAGGCTGGCCTCCAACTCTCTATGTAGTTGAGAATGAAACTTGTATTCGGTAAGCCCAGGGCCACGAAAATCTAAGTATGTGTTCTACCACTAAGCTACAACTCCAGACCTTGCCCATTACTTTTTGTATTTTTTTTTAATTGATTTTTATCCCTTGTCCCTTTTTTTTTCTTTGAGGCAGGTTTTCTCTGTAGCTTTGGAGCTTGTCCTGGAACTAGCTCTTGTAGACCAGGCTGGCCTCGAACTCACAGAGATCTGCCTGCCTCTGCCTCCCGAGTGCTGGGATTAAAGGTGTGCGCCACTGTGGCCTGGCCCCCTTGCCCATTTTTAACTACACTTCCACCCTCTTCTCCTATCCTCATGTAGCGTAGACCAGCCTCAAACTTGGTGGGGTTTTTTGTTTTGTTTTGTGTTTTTTTGGTTTGTTTCTTCATTTTTCTTTTTTGAGACAAGGTTTCTCTGTGTAGTTTTGGAGACTATCCTAGAAGTAGCTCTGTAGACCACGCTAGCCTCAAACTCACAGAGATCCCCATGCCTCTGCTTCCCCAGTTCTGAGATTAAAGGCCTCTACCATACCAAACTCAAAAAAGAAAAAAATCTTTAAAACAAAAGTCTTTAATCTTTTCTCAGTTTGATAATTTCTCTCCCATTTTGTAGGTTGTCTGTACTGCTTTTATTTTTCATATGTGTAGTCTAGTATAATCCTACTTGTCGTTTTTTGTTTTTATTGTATGCACTCTTGGGGCCTTTTATCCAAGATCTTTTACTTATTTCCAATAGAGGAGATTGCACTAAGGGCCTTGTACCTAATAGATAAGTCTCTAGCACCCACTGAGCTACAACCATTTTTTTTTTATTTTTTTGTATGTTTGTGGGGGTATGTACATATGATGTATGTCCAGGTTTGTTCATGCCATGACATGTGCATGGGGACAAAGGACAATATTGGGTGTCTGTTTCTTCGTTGTTTTTATTTGTTTGTTTTTGTTTTTCGAGACAGGGTTTTGCTGTAGTTTTGGAGCTTGTCCTGGAGCTAGCTCTTGTAGACCAGGCTGGTCTCCAACTCACAGAGATCCGCCTGCCTCTGCCTCCCGAGTGCTGGGATTAAAGGCATGCGCCACCACTGTTCAGCTCCAAGATCTTTTAAAAGTGTCACGAGCCATTTCCCCCCTAAAAATCATTACAGGAACCATCACCCTGGGGAGTCTGCAGAGAACCCCACACCCATAATTATGTTCTATTGACAGAACCTGCCCCACACCCAATTAACTTATCTGTTAGCGGAATGCGCCTCACATTCCAGCTATCCAGGGAACCAGGTGTGGCAACTCGTGACTTCTTGGCCTACCCGTCCGAATGTAACCTGGCCTACGTGACCTGCCCACCAAGTCCTCATGCAGGGCCTATATTAGCAGCAACCATGATCCTAATAAAGGGGGCTTTGACAAATCTGCTTGGCCTCCTTCTTCTGTCTTAGCTCATTCCCTTCCAGATAGCACCCCTCCGTGACCCTGGAATAACTGATTGCAGGGTGGGTTACAAACCCCTAGACTGAGTAACCCACCCAACGCAATCGACATAAAAGCTGATTAAAGTCTGTGCAATGTAGCTCGGTGCTGGACAGTTTGCCCAGCACAGACATGGCCCTGGTTCAATCTCTAGCACAGACAAAATGGTATATTTAAGACAAGTAGGCCAGTGTGGAATCACATACCTGTAATCTTAGCACTTTGGTGGTAAAGACATGAATGTTAACGAATTCAAGGCCAGCTTCAGCTACACAGTAGATCAAGGCCGGCCTGGGCTAAATACACCATGTCTTTTTAAAACAGAAAAAAAAAAAAAGCAAAGCACCACTCTTCCAGGTGCATGTCTGCTTATCTGCCCATGTAAGGTTTGAAAAAAGTCTACTTCTCTTTACCATTTCTTACAAGCAATTAAGCTCAGAAATGTGATTGCTCAACTGACATCCTAGTGTTCCAAATTTCCTCCCACATGGTGATTTCCCCATCAAACTTTCGCAATTTACAAGTAAAAATAAGGTCCCCTTCCTCCTCAGACTGCTAGCATCTACTGTCAACAAGTTTCAGTATCATGTCTGTTTCAAATATCACTAGAAGGGCCATGTATATATCTAAATGTCCCCAGATGTGGCAGATACACTGCATAACCCACAGCTGTACAACTACGCTATGGAAAGACAGCTCGTGAAGAGACAGTTAAAAGTTCCTCCAGGTGTGGTGGCACACACTTGTAATCCCAGCTACTTTGGAGGCTAGGACCCTTTAGATACAGGGTCTCTCTAAGCTGCAGGCTGATCCAAAGTCTAGGCCTACAAAGGCAACTTAGTAAGACCCTGTATCTAAAGGGTTGGCCTTGGCAGGCATAGGCAGGAGGACCATTGTGAATCTTAGGCCACCAGAATTATATAATAAGTTACAGGCCAGCACAGGTTATTGAATGAGACCTTTTCTAAGCTAAAAAAAAAAAAATCAACTCCCCAGCAATGAAGCATGTCCTAGCTCAATCGTAGAGCAATTACCTAGTGTGCATGAACCTGTGTTCAATCTCTAGTACCACAACATTAATTTTTTTTAAAGATTTTTTCATTGCATTTAAGTGCACATGAGCCCCCATGCCCTTGGATCCCCTGTAGCTAGAGTTCTAGTTAATTGTGCTGGGAACCAAATTCTAGTCCTCTGCAAAAGCAGTCCACATTTCTAACCAATGAGAAACATCCAGCCCAAGAGGAAAAAAATTTTTTTAAGTGTCCTAGTTGTTCAAACAAAAGTGTAGCTTGTTCTGTTGCTTTGTCAGCAATGTCATTCAGCAGAAAGGCTTTTCTGGACCTGACACTCAGAAGAGAGATCGCAAACTGAAGCACTCTGCATAAACAGAAGCCCTATTAAGTCCTAGGATAACTTTGCAACTCTAAAGACACCCCCCCTTTTTTGAGACAGGATTTCTCTGTGTAGTTTTAGAGCCTGTCCTAGACCATGTTGGCCTTGAACTCACAGAGATCCCCCGCCCCTGCCTCTGCCTCCCGGGTGCTGGGGTTAGAGGTATGAGGCCTGCGCCACCACCGGCCTCTAAAGAGCTTTTTGCAAAAGAAATTTTCAGTTGTCTTGCACCCTTTCAGCAAGCACAGTGGTTCTCAGCCTTCCTACTGCTGCCACCCT